ACTCGCATTGAGATTTTTAAAAAAATAACCACAGCTTGATGTCAGACAAACAAACACTTCAATGAACTGGGTCTGCCAGGTCTCGGGGTAGTTTGGGAAGTGTACACACTTGACTGAGAACATATGCCCAAGTATATGACTCAAGACCTGCTTTATAAAAGGAAGCTGGGTTCCTTTCAGTAAATATTTGCTTATTATTTCATGGCATTATGCCTACCATGAATGAAACTACAAAACATACTTTATCTCTAGTCCGTATATCCAAGGAAATTACTTTAAACACCTGCCTGAGTTTTTTATGCAGCCATTCATGTAGCTGTAAAAACTTCCTGCTTCCAGGTAATCAACCCCATGTACACGTGACTGGTGGGTAAGTCCCTCCTCTTTAGAGTGACTGTAACCACAGCAACCACAACAGGTCTGTGTCATATGGCCAGTGGTTTAGCCATGCAAATGCTGATAAGCTACTCAAGCTAATTACTTCAACACAAAGCACAATAAGAAAAAACTATAGGGATCAATCAGCTACAACGGTTGGACCCCTAATTATTCCAGCTGCCTCAACTTTGATGAGTACAATAACTGTGGTTAGTAGTGACTCCTGGCATCTGACAATGATAGTCCCACCATCAACAGGCTTTGGAGCCTCAGTTTTCTTCATTAATAAACAATTGGGAATGATGTTTATCATCATCATCATCATCATCATCATCATTGTCATCATTGTTATCACCATCATGATATCCCCCTTTAAATATATCCAGGAGCTTCCCCTAACTGATCAGCTTATCAACATTATGGAATCACAGCAGTTGTAGCAGATGGACAATCAACAGCCTACAGTCCATAAAAGAAATACAGCTACCCGCACTTAAAGGATAGATTCACTACAACCTATTTTGTAGAATCATTGAATTCCATTATACACAAGATTACAGAGGTTTATATGAATGCCAGCACTTTGCTGATCATGAAAAAGCTGTTGCAATACTTCAAGTGTACGCTTTTGCTTTACATATGTGGTCATGTCTGAAATTCCTAACCCAGGAAATGTTTCCTGGAAGGAAACCAAACTGGTTAAATTATGCTTTTATGTAACATTTTCAAACGTATGTTTCATGAAATCACACTCGACTTTCTCTCTAATTCTTATAAATCCATATAAGTAACTTTGTAATAACTGCATGATTGAATTCTTTTATGTCACCATTTAAAGAAGTTCCTGCTTCAATTTAACAGATACTGTGTACACACAACAGGGTATTTAAGCTAATAGCTCTATTACTTGCATTTATAACTACAACTATGACTGATAGTCCATGAAACAAAAGAGAATGCCCACACCTAGTGACTGTAACATTCTTCAGGGTATAATACAAATGAACTAACCCTAACACTGTCATCAGTTCAGTTTTGAATGTACAGCATGTCTACAAATACCCTTCCAAAACAGTAGCTATGGTTGGTGGTAATTGAGGTCCCGCACTCTACTGGATTTCAAGCTTCATGTCTCTTCATTGTAAAAACTTGATTCTTGCTTTTTTTTATGTGCCAGGTGGGGAGGGTCATCATCATTATCATCACTGCTATCACTATCATTAAATCCCTATAACTTGACAGACTTATCGATATTGTGAAATCACACCAGCCAATGTGGCCTAGACTTGTAAACAAAATAGTCTGGAGTCTAGCTATAGGATTCACTACAAGCTGATTTTTGATTGTGTTAACATCCATCATATACAACTAGACATAAATTTCAACCATTACAAGCATATTTATTGAACATAACGTTGTGACCCACAAAGACGCCCTGTATCTTGACAGAACAAAAACATCTGGACAAAAAAAGCCAATGTCTTATGAATTATCTGTTCAACGCACCCAATGACCGGACTGGGGAAACAAACTGAAACGCGGACTTATAAATAGAGAGGACTAATGACAACAACCAGAAACAGCAGATTACATGGGGATCCCACACGAGGTTAGCGAGGGGGCGTGGCACACGTAAGGAGTGGACGATCGGGGCAGGACAGGGGTAATGTTGGGATAAGATCTTTATCGTTTTGGAAGCCATTAAGAAAAAAATGCTCTTCTTGTTTTATCCTGCTCAATTTGTGTTTAAATGCTAAAAAGAAAGAAAAACATATTTAGGTGTAATTTGGGGGGGGCGAGAACCAATTAATTGGTTTTCCATTATTTCTTATGGGAAAAATTCGATCAGAACTCGAACTTTTTAGTCCGAAACGGATATATATATATTAGGGCTGTCAAAATTAACGGGTTAACGCGGATTCATCCATCATCATTATTATTCTGATTCAAATTTTTAACGCAATTAACCCATCCGCAGCGCAGAATGACTCAAAATTCCTGAAATCTCTATGTCAACCCATTTCGGGCAGTTTTTGTGCGTTCCATTTGTCCTCGGAACTGGTATTTCGAGACGTATTCCGGAGTTTTGAAGCTGGATCTGCTGGAAGTGACGACATGTGCGCTCCCGTTTCTCGGAGATCCGACTATCGGAACAGCCCAGAGGCTCCCGAGTTCGGAATCCAAGATGGCTGCGCCCTTTATCAACAGAAGGGAAAATTGTAGTATTATACTGTTTAAGCACTACTTCTCATTTGTGGCTCATTAAATCGGTCGCACACACTATACCGTCCAACTTATCTGTGGACGTATTGCTACAGAGTTTTATACGTAAAGCACCGCGCGTAATGTGTTATCAACTGATATTGCTAACAATGGCAATTAACTGAGCTAGAATTGGATTTCATTAGTCGGATTATTTGTCAGATTTACGGTAGTTCGGGCTAATTGTAAGTGAACGAAGATAAAGACCATTTAAACTGAGGTAGCCTACCTTAAATCCGACAAGTTGTCCGGCTAAGCAAAAAAATCTTGCTTTTTGATATGGGTAGTTGCAAGTCACCAGTTTATTCTCTGACTTATTATAATTATAATATTATATTATATTATAATCAGGGAGCGACCATCTGACATACATTCAGCATGTACAACAAGAAGCTCGAACCATAGGCGTCGGCTCTGTCTCTTTATAGGCCTTCTGGGGTGNAATTGGTTTTCCATTATTTCTTATGGGAAAAATTCGATCAGAACTCGAACTTTTTAGTCCGGAACGGATATATATATATTAGGGCTGTCAAAATTAACGGGTTAACGCGGATTCATCCATCATCATTATTAATCTGATTCAAATTTTTAACGCAATTAACCCATCCGCAGCGCAGAATGACTCAAAATCCCTGAAATCTCTATGTCAACCCATTTCGGGCAGTTTTGGTGCATTCCATTTGTCCTCGGAACTGGTATTTCGAGACGTATTCCGGAGTTTTGAAGCTGGAAGTGACGACATGTGCGCTCCCGTTTCTCGGAGATCCGACAAATATCGGAACAGCCCAGAGGCTCCCGAGTTCGGAGTACAGAGTTTTATACGTAATGCACCGCGCGTAATGTGTTATCAACTGATATTGCTAACAATGGCAATTAACTGAGCTAGAATAGGATTTCATTAGTCGGGATTATTTGTCAGATTTACGGTAGTTCGGGCTAATTGTAAGTGAACGAAGATGAAGACCATATAAACTGAGGTACCTTAAATCCGACAAGTTGTCCGGCTAAGCAAAAAAATCTTGCTTTTTGATATGGGTCCATGGTATTGTTGGAGTCACACTCCGCCGGGTCCGTTGATGAGAAGAGATTTACAGCACAGACGAGGAGTAGTTGCAAGTCACCAGTTTATTCTCTGACAGATTATAATCAGGGAGCGACCATCTGACATACATTCAGCATGTACAGCAAGAAGCTCGAACCATAGGTGTCGGCTCTGTCTCTTTATAGGCCTTCTGGGGTGTCCCCCCCCCTTCCCGGTACTTTTCCATCTACTTGACTGCAACATATTTTGACATTTGCTCTAGTAAGTCCGTGAGTACATGTTCCCCCCCCCTTTATGTTAAACAAAAGTTAAAATAAGTATCGCTTATATGATGTGTTCCTGTTTTCCAGCTGTCTGGGATGAGGTCACCCTGACCTGCTCGCACACTGTCAGTTCCTGATTTCTCCCAACTGTTTGGGGCGAGATCACCCCGTCCTGCCAGCCCAGTATCAGTTCCTGTGTCTGTTAGCTTAATTATTTTAGAAGCTGCATTATTATAGAATTAACCCCTCAGTATTGCACTTCTGTGGCAGATGGAATGCATCAAACTCGTGTTCAAGATGTTCAATAAACATGTTAAGTGCATATATATTCTCTTTTTTCTTGAGTCTGTTTGCTCATGCAAAATGAAATGTGATTAATATAGATTAAAAATTAATGATATTTAATCACGATTAATCGAAATTAATCCACAGAAACCCTGTGATTAATCTGATTAAAAATGGTCCCTGCTACAGTTCTCTGCAGAATAATTACAATGCAACAGACTTGGGGATGTCTGCTGCCCCCAGGAGGCTGCTTTCCTCAGGCCGAGATTCTCCTAGGGTCCCCCACACTATTCCACAGCGGACAGAGAGACATGCCCTTTCTCAACAGTTTTTGCCTTCTTTAAAGTAAAGAGAAAGGAAGGAAGGCCATTATTTTGCCATTGGAGGGACAACAGAGTCACTGTTCTTTAGTATGTCATGTAGGTAGCATGTCAAGGTTCCTATTACATGTAACAGGTTGTTTTCTAAGGAACACATATGTCAATCACCAAACAGCCAGAAGGAGATTGACTGTTGTGACAGGAAACGTCACGCTGTGCAGTGGATGACAATTGACCTTCATCTCAGGAGTCAGTGGTATTTCTTCCTGTTGTGAAAGGTATTGCCTGAAGGGTACAGCTAAATTAACACTGTAGAAGACATGAAATGACAATGTAACATTGCACAACTGGACAACCTAGAACTGGCCCTATTGAACCTTCCCCATTCAAAGGCTTGTAAATTGAGGAGAGCTGCTACAGTGAGACACTGAAATCAACAAAACTCCAGAATACTGAAATTGCACAATTTTATTAGGTACTATCAATAAATATATAGCTTTGCAGAATAATTTACTGTGGCACAGTGAACTGAATAACAGCAGAGGAGTAAGATGCATATAAAACACAAGAATGCTTTCCAGTATGGAAAAAACAAATGATAAAGGAATATTTGAATAAAGATTAGACCATTGTATGACAGCATATGAAGAGAAATGAGCACTACAGAAACCATCTTTGCCGGACATTTATGTTAACACAGTATTTGAAATACTAACTAAACTTATAAATATAAAAAAATTCATGTGATACTACATTTAATCATCTTCTAGAAATCAGCCTAAAATGAATTACTGTGCTTATAAAATAAAAACTTGGACTACAGTATAAAATAGACTATTTCATTAAAAATTTGTATTTCATAAATATAAAGTTATAAACATCATAACTGAAACAGATAATACTTTAGGCCTAAGCTTATTAATGTCCTGTACCTGGAGTTTAGCAAATCTCTCTCTCTCCATGTTCCATTAACTGGCTGGCTACGTAGGTCTGGGCAGCCTTGCGAGTAATAGTTGTACAGCGGGATAAAATCTCCTGGACTCTTGGGCGTGGAGGCACCTTCGGAACTGAGGTGGTGCTGGACAGCTTTCGCCCATCGGCCTGGTCACCATGGCTGTTGGCCGCCTGGGAGCCTGGCCTCTGCTCCTCTTTGTCAGAGCAGCTTGTGCTGACGGAGCTGCCGCAGAGGGAACCACAGTCATCGCTAAAGCTCAGCTCACTGCCCTCGCTGGCCACGCTCGGCCTGCCTTCGCAATCTTTGCCTGTTGCTGGCTCCTCCGTGATTGATCGGATGGGGCTAGCAGACAGAAGTTCCATGGACTGGGACCTTGGTATGAAGGTGGGCCTGAGGCTGTCCCCCTTGGGTGGAGTAAGACCCGGCGCTGCCTCTTGGAGGTGCAGTTGTGCCAGACATAGGCTGGAGCTGCGCATGTCCTTCTGTAGCGCCTGAAAGCGCAAGTGGGGGTTGCAGTATGGCCGTAGATACATGGACGGCACATAGCCAGCATTTCCTTTGTGCCTGTGGGACAAAATACAAGAGTTAGAGAATAAACTGAAGAGTTGCAGTGGGTCCCAACTGCGATGGACTGAGGGGTGCTTCCCCCCTGCCCCCACCTCCACCACTATTGTTTCTCTGTCCGCCCAATAAAACCTCAAAAAGATTATTCATCACTTTCATCTTATCCGCAAAGGGCCGGTGTGTATGCAGGTTTTTGGGGTAACCAATAGGTCAGTTGTTCAAACCCAGGTGTGAGGACTCTTCAGATAATCAGCCCTCTAATTAGTAATCTAATTAGCGAGTTGTAGCAAAAACCCACACACACACTGACCACCGCTACACTAAACTGTAGAGCAAACATTTCTGCTACTCTCCTTCCTGTATTCTCTTTTGAATGGTATAGTAAAAAACAGTGGAGCAAAAAACGAAAGTTACATTTACAAGAATTCACTGCTGCTTCTGCCTGCCCAGCAACATGCCAAGTGGATAATCCAGCTGGCAAGGAGAACGCTTTCAGTGCTCTGGAGCTTGAATACATGGTTCCCCTCCCCAGGCTTCTCAGCATAAGGAATGCTCCACCTGATGAACCACCAGCCGTCGGCAGACTTCTGAAGCACCTCGACGACAGAGCCGATGTTCACAGACACCTCGTCTTCTTTGGTGGCCCGATAGCATCTTGCCATACAGTACAGCCTGCCTGTGGACCGACAGAGGAACCCGGTTACACAAAGACACAGGAACTTCCGCTGTAACTGCGATTTAATGGATGCTTGTGTGCTTCAGGGAGTTTATGAATAGGGTGCTCTGGAGTGTCCAAAGACACTCTGTACATGTCTTTTTTTTGGTGACCAATGGGTAGGTGGGTTAGGAGCAAACAGACAGTTCATAACTTGAAATGTTCGTAAGTCGTTATTCAACATCATTTTAAGGGTATACACAAGTACAAAGAACTAGTATGCTGGGAGTATGAACACTACGCTGCAGTGCGGCGGGAGTAGCGGCTAGATGTCGTACTAGCTGGAATTGGCGGGCAGAAAAAAGGAAAGGAAATGGGAGCCCAATGAACACAATTTGGACGTACAGTCCTGTTCCTTTGTATGTCTGAAAGTTTGTAAGTTGAAAGTTTGTAAGTAGAGGAGCATCTGTAGTCTCTTTCAGAAAGCCATTATTACCCACATCCTTTTTAACATCACTGGGGGGAGGCGGGGGGGGGGGCAGTGCATTCTTTTGACATGGAAACCGAACACTCAGTTGCTGGTTACGGTTGCCACTAACCTTCCATAGGGCACTCACTCAGGTCATCTTCTTCATCATCATCCTCGCAGCTCTCTAGATAAGGCGCCGGGAACCAAGCCAGGTGCTTCTCCGTGTTCTCCACAAGCCACCAGCCTGATTGGGACGAGATGGTGTCAGTATTAACTGTGGACCTCAGACATTGCCATGTGAAGCTCATAGAAGTATTTCAAATATATCTTTGATAGAGGAAATCTTTTAATATAATTCTAATCATACACATATATGGCTTTTTTTAAATCACTTTCTCTATCTCATCTATTTTAAAGGGAACATTTCCAAGACTTACATAATCTGCTTTTAAAATAAAACATGAATGACATTAAAAACACCATCATAATCTTTTTTTTTTAATTATCCATGATTTATCGTGTTAAAATGAATTTCCAAATTCCAAGTTCCCAGAATTACATATTTCTATTCCATTTTTTCTACAGTTGTGAAAATGTGATAATCCGGTTGTTTTACCCAATGCTTATAACCACCCAGGACAACTGTAAGATGCATACCTCCTTTGTCTTTGATGAGCACATCCACAGTCTCGTTTACAGCTACGCTGAACGGCCTGTTCTTTGTATCTTTGGTTTCGTATGCGCCGACACAACGGTACGTCTCAGATAGGAAGGGCTGGGATATGTTACCAAAACTGAGACGCTTGCTGTCCACATAATCTGTGTCTTGGCTTCCGATGTCTTCCGATGGCATGATTACAATACTGAAAAAGAATACAAGATTAGGACATTACGTTGTGGCTGAACATTTTAAGCCTCGTAAAGATGACTCAAATACACCGTAATTTAAGGTATGTTTGGTTCACATTAAATTCAAAGTGCGTAATGTTTTTTTATAGTTAGCTGCTAAATCACGTACCTATTTTTAGCATAATCCGGTTGTAGATCGTGATTTTGCGGCGTGAAGAACTGTATCATCTCGAAACTCTGAACGATGTTGTGTCCACATGCCAACAGCTCGGTACAGTAATTCTCCATGTACTTCAAGCGGAGCATCGACCTGCTCGGACCCTTTCTTTGAAGGTTATGCGTTATGGTTTTTGCTGGAACAAATTTTGCATTTTTTCACACACTACGGTCTTCGATGACTTTCTGATGTGTAAGTAAATACATTATATCTTTATATCAATGTATACCTGGAAACCTGGGAAGGACCCGCTCTGATTTACGAAACCGGCTTTCTGTAGCAAGTTTCCGTTTCAAACTCTTCTGTTGGAACAAAATGAAAGTCAGAATTATTAAATTAAAGGACTTTTCAGGTACTGGTCTAATATCTGAAACGTGATTAACTTACGTGCAGTTTCTTGAATTCCTGAAAAGACCTGTAAATAATAATTTCACTCTCATCTGACCAAAGCACCACAGTCAGGAACCTCTGCAAAAGAAAATAAAACATATATATATTTTAAAATGATAATTTCTTTACTGAATTGTTGCAATAATATTTTTAAAGTTGGCGTGATTCTTGTGGTGGTTTATTTATAAAGACAGAATCAATCCGGTTCAGAACTCCTTGAGATGGATTTGGAAAAAATGAAAAAACATATTTTTTCCATAGTTATTGCTCCTTACCTTGTCCGCGTCCTTGTACATCACTCCAGTGAGTCTAACACGTAAAGGAAAACGCTGATCATTCATTTTTGCGACTGTAACCTACAGTACTATAGAGTTCAAAGCAGAATATCAACTCTTGACTCTCAACTTCTCAAGTCCCGTTTTATAACACTGGAATAAGGCGGAGTTGATGAGACGTCATACGTATTTCACAAATACGGAAAATAGGTGCACATAAAAACCAAAAATACCGACGTTATACAATAACAGGTGACGAACGTATACTGAGCTGGCGAACCCTTAATCTAATGTAACATTACAAATAAAACGTTTTGTCTTGAGCTAAGATTTTAAAATGAGGATCACGAGACAAATTTTAAAAGGGCTTAGAATTTAATAATTGCTTTTTTGATAAAGTATAAATAACAACGAACCTTTTCCTATAGCATAGTAAAAGAATAATCATAATTTTAAAATGTTTTCTGCGTGTTAGTCTTAAAATTTCAAAATGTTTGCACATCTTTAGCAATTTTGTATTGCCACACGTAATTTGTGTTGACAGCTAAGTGACACTGAATTAAGAACAAATATTCCTTCATTGCTGTAGTTGTCAGACACCTGAGCAGAGGGATCTCTCAGTCTTTGTAAAACCGTTCCGTTTCAGTAACTCCGACACACACACACACAAAAAAAATCTTGTGAAAGATGTTTACCAAGTGTAAACATGCATTGTCCTCTGTGGACAACTGATTAAATTCCATAAATCATAGAAATCTTCACGGAACTGTCATCTTGATTTAATTACTTAGACTGGCGCAGGTGACTTTTCAAAGTGTGATTGGTGAGAGGCAGCTGGCAGAGAAAGCTGGCACAATGATCTGAGGCTGCTGACAAAACAGGCCCCAGTGCGTGTCACTACCCAAGGTCAAAGCGGTCATTGCCATCTGGAATAGCTATCACACCTGGCCTTGTCAAGGAGCCTTCAGTTCACGGCTGTCCCTTAATCCCCTTATGCCTGATCTCTGCCACAGGTGACTTCACAGACAACCTCGCAGAATCCCTGTTGCTTTCACAGCAGCCGAGTGAAAACCGACAGGTCACCAGAAATGTGTTTTGGCAGGCTTTTGTTACACTGAATGCTGTCATCGATGGATGGCAGAAACAGGGGTCTGATTTGGATGGATGCATTGTGTTGATGTCACTGTGTAATTTCACAGATGGCGTAAAAGCTATAACTGTGCTATTGATGGCACAGCACAGTTCTTAGATGGCACTCAAGCCTTACTGCCCTGTGCTTGGTGGTTCCAATCTCTGTGTGTTTATAAGGAGTTTTCATGGTCTCCTGTGTCTCTGTGGGTTTCCTCTAGTACTCCCATAGTCAAAAACATGCTGTTATGTCAATTAGGGTCTCAAAACATGTGAATTCATGATGAAAGTGTGTGCCTTGTGATAGATTGGCATCTCATCTACCTCTGCCTTTTCACTCTACTTCTGGGAGAGGTTCTAGGTCCACTGTAGTTAAGGAAGATGTATGTATGGATGGATGTTGCAAGGCATTGTGTAGGAACTTCTGGGTCAATGGTTGACATTTCTGATAAAAATCTAAACACAGGGAAGCTAGGAAAAGAAACTGTTTCTTCAAGAAACAAAAAGCCTTTATCACCCTGGGTAAACCAGGAAACTGGCTATATTTAAACATATATTTATATAGACATTTACAGTAACCCAACAACACTGCTTCATGTCAAGGAAATGGTGTGACATTTCCTCTATCATTTAGGTTACGTTCTATGTTTGTGGAGTTTAGATGTTATCTCTGTGTCTTACGAGTTATTTGTCTGATTTTCTAATCTAATGTATAATATTCAACTACATTATTTGTAAAAACCAGACTTATCTACTGTTTACAGGTTATTTAACCAAGATTGTACAACATTCCTTTTAGGCAGGTTACACAAGACTGAGAAGTTTAACTGGATTACAAGTGCATTACGTCAGTATGTCATTTTAGCATTACATCATTTTACTAATAAATCACTCACCGCAGGTCTTGGTCCTTAGCCTAAAGTATTATTGCTGCCTCAGTGATTTGTAGCAATTTCTTTGCTTTTTTAACTTTCCGTTATTTTTTTAATCGTGTTCCAGTTGTGTTCGTCTGAAAGTGGAATTAAGGTTAGTTAGAATTAAAGGTTATAATTGTGCTTTGATTTACTGTGATTCACATGGCTGTCACTGTGTGTGGTAAGAGATTCAATAATTCAACATTATAAAACATAATTAATCTTGCAGCTGTTGTTATATGGTTAATGTGTGAAACACTGCAATGTCCCTTATAGGTTTGTCCAAAATCTTCTCAGAGGAGATTTCAAAATATTTATCATATTGCTCTATTTCCCTGTTATCACTCTTTAAGAAGTATTTATTGATAGTGTTTGTACATTAACACCCCTGTGATTAATGATTGACTAATAACTGGCTCAGGTAATTTCTATTGCTTTGAAGCACGAGTGCTTTAGTGAAATGTAAATAATAAGTTGTAAACACTGCAACCACACCTATTACCAGTTGTTCCAAGGATTTAGACCAGATAACTTTCACACGTGCAAACATGCATGCCCCATTCCATGTTTCAGTTCCTCCCATGCAGCAGGAGAGAAATGCAGAGGATTCTTTCAAAGATGGAGCATATCATGATATGTCTGTTTGGTTAACATGTTTCTGAAAGGCAAAGCAGGTGGGAAATGAAAATATCAACCCAAACAAGTAATACCGGGTCTGATTTTATTTATATTGCAGCTATATATTTCTCAATACACTGATCAGTCATAACACTGAAGCCACTCACAGGTGAAGTGAATAACATTGATTATCCCACTACAATGGAACTTGTCAAGGTAACTGAACAGTCGCTTCTTGAAGTTGACGTGGTAGAAGCAGGAAAAATGAGCAAGCGTACGGGATGCAGATGATGCATATCCTTACGAAACATGCAGATTAAACCATAATGACTCAGGCACCTTAAACAGTTTACAAAACTGTCTGAAACATATTAAAATGTGGATGGCAGACAACTTTGGGCAACTAATTGCGAGCAAACCAGAGCTGATCATTTTTGGCCCTCCAAGCAATGTTTTAAACCACACTATTTCCATTGGGCACTTATCTGTGAAGGCACGTTAGGGATTTAGGAGTGATTTTTGACTCAAATAACGCAAATAATTCTGTGGTCAAAAGCAGCTTTTTTCAGTCAAGATCCATTGCCAGAATCCAGAAAACCTTTTAATCCACACCATGCATTTGAGCGAATTATACATGCTTTGATAGCATCTCAACTGGATTACTGTAATTCAGTCTATCTAGATATTAATCAGCTCTCGTCACGTTTACAGCTCGTTCAAAATGCAGCAGCTCAACTTCTTATACCGGTACTAAGAAAAGGGATTATATCACACCAAATCTAGCTTCTGTTCACTATCTGCCTGATCACTATAGAGTACAGTTTGAAGTATCTCTTGATGTTTTTAAGTCTAAACATGGTGTGGCCCCATCTTATTTATCAGATATAATCAAACTTCATACAGCTTCAAGATCCTTGGGATTTAATATGCAGCTTCTTTTGGACGTTTCAAAATCTTGACTAAGTTCTTTCTCAGTTGTTGCCCCAAAACTGTGGAACAATCTGCCTCTCTATGTTAAACAAGCCACATCAGTCTCTGCTTTAAATCTGCTCTTAAGACATACTTTTATAGATGAGATACTGTAACTCTGGGATAGTTGTTTGTTTTATTTTACATTTTACTTTAAGTTTCTATCACGTAATTCCTGTTGCCCTTTAACTCATCTTCTGCACTTGTGCGTATTTATGCATTGTAAAGCACTTTGGTGTATGCTTGTCATTTTGAATTGTTCTTTAAAAATAAAATTTGCTTACTTACTAAGTATCTGAACGACTTTGACATGGGCCAAACTGAAAAGGCTAGACAACTGTGTCAGAGCATCTCCAAAACAATGGGTCTTGCGGGGTTTTCCTTGTATGCAGTGGTCAGTACCTACCAAAAGGTGTCCAAGGAAGGCCAACCGGTGAACTGGGAGTTCAAGGCTAGCTAATGTAGCACAAATTACTGAAACACTTAATGTTGGCTATGAGGAGTGTCAGGACACAAAGTAAATCGCAGATTTGTGTGTAAGGGACAGTGCAGCCGCAGACCTGTCAGACTGCCCATGGTGACCCCTGTCCACCGCCGAAAGCGCCTACAATGACACAGGAGCATTCGACCTAGACCATGGAGCAATGGAAGAAGGTGGCCTGGTCTGATGAGTTATGTGTTCTGTAACGTCATATGGATGGCTGGGTGAAAGTGCATCATTTACCTGGGGAGATGACACCAGGAAGCACTATGGGAAGAAGGCAAACCGGCAGAGCTAGTGTGTGTGTCACATCAAGATTGTGCCGCTCCTCCTGTGCGCCACTCCCCCTCGCTAACCATGTGTGGAATCCCCATGCTACCAGCTGTTTGCTGTTTCTAGTCTTGTCTAATCAAGTCCCTGTAGTGCAGAGTCCATTAACGTCTTAGTGTTATTTTGGTGTGCCCCGTGTATCTTTCCCCGATTAAATCCAGTTTTATCCCATCTCCTCGAGTCCTGCTCTTTTTTCCCCAGTCTGTACTTCCCTGTGGCATGACAGTGTGATGCTCTGGGAATGTTCTTCTGGGGAACCTTGGATCTAGCATTCATATGGATGTTACTTTGACACATTCAGTCAGTTCTGCTACAATGTGACTATGGGTCGGTTTACACTCGACGTTCACAATGCGCCCGCATATGCATCATTGCCACTTTGCGAGAGGCAAAAAGGATCATTGTTGGTGAATTACAAGACAAAGTAAAATCTTGGGGTTACCACTTCTCTAAAACCACCATCAGAAGCTACCTTCATGCTAACAGGTTATTAAGCACAAACGTTAGCACCTGGAGTCTGCAAAACACTACTAGAACTTTGACTCGAACCATGTTCTATGGTCTGATGAAACCAAAATTGAGCTTTTTGGCAATAAACATTCATGGTAGGTTTGATGTAAAAAGAAGGATGGCTATAATGAAATTAACCTCATCCCAAATGTAAAATATGGTGGAGGTTCTGTGATGTTGTGAGGCTGTTTTTCCTCCAAAGGCCATGGAAACCTCGTTAGGGTTCATGGCATTATGGACTCCATGAAATACCAGGACATTTTACATCAAAATTTTGTGCCTCTGCCAGGAAACTAAAACTGGGCCGTCATTGGATCTTCCAGCCGGACAGTGATCCTGTCACTGTCAAAAATCAACACAAAGATGGTTAGCTGACTGCAGAATCAAGCTTCTGCCATGGCTCTCAGTCCCCTGACCTGAACCCCATTTAAAACCTGTGGACTGAGCTGAAGAGGAGAGTACACAAGAGATGGCTTAGGACCCTGGATGATCTGGAGAGATTCTGTAAAGAGGAATGGTCTCAGATGCCCTGCTCTGTATTCTCCAACCTTATAAAATGTTATTGAAGATTCAGTGCTGTTTTACTGGCAAAGGGAGGTTTTTACAAAATATTAAATGTTGTGATTATATGCATTTTAAATAAGAAATAATACATTCATGCATTGTATCAACATCTCCTATGGGTCTTACGAGTCTCACGAAAGTGGCCTAGTAACCACTTTAACCGATCATGTTGAACTCGCATTTTTGACAGTTCTCAAAAAGCAAACGTCAGTGATTAAAAACGTTGCTGTATTTTTATATGATAAGTTGTCAAATATTTTTAGAATCTAATACTTTGACCAGTGCGATGTCTGGATGTACAAAAAGAAAAAAGAATGATTTAAAAGAACGACCCCTTCACAAATTGGACATTACTATAGTTCACTTGGATAAATGTTTTTGCGTGAAGAAAGTTTCTCTCTAAAACCATGCCGCGTTGTAGTTCGCATAATGCTTATCTCTTCGACTGAAAAGTGCACAAATACAATTGTGATTCCACGTTGTATTGGAATGGGTACTAAGGTATAAATCGGTGTTAGAACAGATTTATGGTGCAATATCACGCGTTGTACTAGGACTGACTGTACCTACCTCAACGTTCATTAGGCTTGTCTGCTCCAGTTCCACAGCTCACCTACAGTAGCACAAATTGCTGAAAAAGCTTCAGAACACAAAGTGTCATTTGGGAGATGCTCTGACCCAGTTGCTATTGCTGCAGATCAAGTACACTAGTCCCTCATGGCAATAATATCACCCAATGGCAGTGGCCTCTTTCAACAGGATAACGCTCCCGGCCACACTTCCAGAATTTTTCAGGAATGGTTTGAGGAACACGAAAAAGAGTTCAAGGTGTTGAGTTGGCCTTCAAAGTCCCCAGATCTCAATCTGATTGAGCATTTATGGGATGTGCTGGACAAACAAGTCCGATCCATGGAGACCCTACCTCACAACTTACAGGACTTACAGGACTCTCCTGCTAACATCTTGGCGCCAGATACCACAAGACACCATCAGAGGTCCTGTGGAGTCCATGCCTCGACAGGTCAGAGTTTTTTTGGCAACATGAGGGGGACCTACACAAGCAGGTGGGTTTAATGTTATGGCTGATCTGTGCATTCAGCTGTAACACAAATGAAATGTCAGTGCTTCCCATGCATTTTTAAGATTTTATTCTGTTTTGGCAGTTTTGAGTTAGGGTTTTTCCAACCGAGTCATGAGACACCCAACGTCTTCTATTTTCAGACTGACGGACACACAATGCATAGCTTTAGTTTGTCCCATAGGGAGACAATGGATGCTGTTGTAACTTATTTCTATTCATGGATAAACTAAAGGTCATCCTTGTTCTTTTCTCAGCAATAGTGTCATCACAGACTGGAAGGACTAGCTGAAATCGTGTTGATATGACTATATATCACTTTTGTACACCAGCTACAACAGTCATTTAAAAGTTCTGTGTATATGATTCCTTGAGCAGCCATTTCAGATTCAGCTCCTGGATGGCCTGTCCAGCTTTCAGCTTTCAGCCGCAGTCCCAAGACATGCTGACCAGCTGAATTGGTGATGCCAGTGTCTTTATGGTGTCTGAGATGGACTGGGATGAGATGTGCCTTTTCTTATTCGCTGTGCATCCCATGGAAAGGATGAAGTAAAAATGGGTGGATGGTCTCTGCTTGGGCCCGTATCTTGGTGCTGTGATGGGTTCTACCATAGCAGACAGGGAGAAGATTATTATTCATGTGTCATTTTAGCAAGCATTTTCCCAGTTTGTAGCTCTGTACTGAAGGTGTCCTTAATCAGTTGTTCCATAAAAATGGATTAAAAATGAGTTTTTAGCTGTAATGCTTTAAAGGATAAAAACTAAAGGCTAAGAATGATAACAGTGGAAATTCAGAGTCTCTGTCAGAAAGTGTTGCTTTCCATCTCTGTCTCTCTCTCATATATACAGTATATATATATATAAAAAAAAATTGTGAGGGCTTGTACACACAAATATACGATCATGAACTACAGACAAATAAGGAACACCAATAAACTTATTGGCGTGTCTTTCGTCTGCAGGAGAAGCCCAGAGGACATTATTTGATATGACATGAAAACTCATAACATTGAGCAGCGGTGGGAGTCAAACCCCCAACCCCAGAGGTGGGAGGAAACAGTGCAGATTAAGCCACCATGCTGTCCTCCCTGGACTGTCATGTGTATTACGCAAAGAGAAACACTCCAGTTTAGAAACACTCCAGAACGGTAATGCCCTCTTGTGGATTTAGTATAGATTTAGTATAGTATAGATTTTCTACACAGTAAAAGAAAATTGAAGGAGAATCAAATTTCACGTTCAAAAAACATTTACCATGTTTTTTCTACTTATCCCGTAGTCACCTAATGTGTGCCGCAGAGAAACAAATAAATGATTGGAATCCGTTTCAGATTCCATTACTGGGGATGGGCAGCCCAAAGGTGGATCAGTATGAAGAAGACATGCTTTTCACGTGGAACAATACCCCTCTTAATGCAACACATTACATCAAACTAATAATGTATTAACATGGAATGGAATGAATTACGTAAACACTGTATTAAAAAAAGCATCCTTTTTAATGGAAATTTTATTGAAATGCTGATGGAGACACTACATCCTCCCTGACCACACCCTTGGCCATACATCAATTCCACTTGCAATTTCAGTTGTTACTTTAAACAAAATACCTCTCTTAAAATTCCTCCATCAATTGAACACCCTAACGTGTCATATTTCACTGCTCATTAAATTATTTTGTGACCTGCATTGAACATTTCATCCGCTTCTTAAACATGCCAGAAAAAAAAGTAGCGTAGGAAGGACTGATGCATTAATATTTAACATTGTGAGAACAACCTGTAAGATGTGCTTAGCTTACGGAGATATTCTCCTTCCTATCTAAAGGTTTGTTGGGTTTGTTGCTTTAGGAAAGTTTCATTTGTTGTAAATGTTCTGTATGAAAAGGAAAAACAGCTACGTGAACTATGAACCATGCACTGCTTTAAGCAGACTATCCAGATCCAAATTGCCTTGAATGGGATGACGAGCCACAATTTCTTTTCCGTAGCAACTTGTATACACTGTAATCAGCCTGAATTATCACGTGAACTTACCCAGTGACTTACCCTAATTGCAGAATGTTCTAAAGACACATTTGATTTGTCCCAACAATGTCAACCAGCCAATGATGACTATTTATCCCTTTTTTAATAGGCTAAATGTGCTGCTTTTCCGATCTCCTTCCCAGAAAACATCCCCATCGGGAATGGGCTCTCATCATCAACTTACCTTGCAGTGCCACAGGCAGTCAAGAGAAGTAAGAATGAAGCGGCACGTAACCAATCGACCACTGAGGTAGATAAAAGTAGGAACTGTACTCATACTTTCCTGGCTCACCATTAGTTACCTGAGGGCAGCACATGAACCCACAGTGAGAGGGCTAACACTTCAGGACTAGTCAGTGATATCTATTTGGTTTGAGTACTGCATTTTCTTGAATGGCATTATAGCACAACAGCACAGTATACATCATGGTACCGATACCCACTCCAAGTCAAAACTGAAATGTTCTACATTAGGACCGTGCTTTTCTTGCTATTCCATCATTCATGTCAAAAAAATAATTTATAAAATTCATTCACCTTTAAGGCAGAAAGTTAAAGCTTTAAGGACTTTTATACATTTTCTCTCATTAATAGAAAACTACATTTACACATCGGTATCTGTTTAAAACATATGTTCAGAAGCTTAGTGGTTGGTTTGATAATCAAACAATACTTAAATACACAAATGCTCTCTGAAGCGCCATTCGAAATTACCAGGGTACTAGGATCTGCTGCATGCAAAACATAAAACACTCCAATCTTCGTATACTTTCAGCTGACAGACCTTGAACGCAATCGCAGGCGAGCTTTGCTAACCCATCCTAGCTGTGTGTTATAAGAATTCCACCATCACAGTGACATGGGGAAAGGTGCAACTTAGTATTCCACTATGAAGAGAATTAAACCAGCTGAGGGAGCCTCAGAACTTGTACAGAGTAACACAGGATTCCACAGTGAGGCTGTTGGCCTTTACCACACTGGGAACTGAAGAGAAAATACCACAATACTTCAGAGTTAAGTACACATTGTACATGGCTGCCTCTCCATGTAGACGCAACATGCTTCACAGGTGCTGAGAAGATGGCATCATCATGAGGGAAGCAAAGATTATACAATGATCCTCAAGCATGTAGACAAAAACATGTGGTAGGTATAGACAGAATTAATCAAGTTCAATAAATACTGCAATGGCTTTAACGGGACCTTTTGCAAGACTAGCTTCTATACTAGTGTTTATGACAACCAGAAGCATATTAACAGCTCATGTTGTGATTATGTTGCATAGGTAGATAAGTAAAAGAGGAAAGCAGGGAGCCAGGTTGGGGAGGTGAATCTTTTGGGAACAGCATGTGCGCTGTTGACATCATTCGCCTCTTACCACCAAAGGTAAAGTGTTCCAAGAGACTCAAGTCTCTAGGTCACAAACACTTCCAATATTCATGTTGAAAAAGCTTTAAGTCGACATCTTGCTTGATTCAGAAGAACAAAACTGCCAAGAATATTAAGCAAAACCCATATTACTGTTCAATAGCATCCCAGCAGTTTTTGTAGCTCACTAACATTGGTAGATTCTCTCCCCATTTGCTCAAGTAGTCATGACTGCTTTAAGACAAAGAAGCCAACAAAAGTTCCAAAGTATTATGTTAAAAAACAATAATGAGCTCTACAAAGTCTGACCTTATATGGAACTAGAAAGGTATTAAGTAACTTTCCTATGGAGGGGAGGTTAAACAACCAACTTTAAAAATAAAGATACCATGACGACACTGCAGGTAAACTAAAGACGCTTAAAACAGCTTATCAAAAATCAGCTTTGATAAAGAAGTACTGAGCCACAGATCTGGGAGAACGTACTTTCCGTACGGCCCTTTAGCGGTTCTCTTGCTAATCTGGGCCTGAGCTTTCCGCCTGCGCACCCTTCTGTCCGACGTTTCTCTCTCCAAAGAGGCTGCGGTCCTCCACTGAATCACGTGACAGTCTTCAGCCATCCGCCGTCCTCACTGTTCGCAGGACATTGAGCAGTCCAATTCTGCAAGCAGCACCAGGATTCCAGCGTCACCGGAACTCATATATAGGCATGCTGTGTTCAGGGACATGGGTGAGGTTTAAGGACTGGTACCTGCAGGAGCAAACCAGAAAAACACTGCATCACTCTGGAACCATCCTAACCCCTTTCCACATACTGTCCCTTTACAGACATGTTGAGGACATGCACATAGATTACATGGCACACTGTTTGTCATAAGCTGATTAGTCACTATATATAAGCACAGAAAACCGACACTGGGTTGCAGCATCTCTGGCAAGCCTTTGTGGGTGAAAGCCTGACACAGATTTCATAAATGATCATTACGTTCTTCGGTCAGATTCATCTGAGCTCAGGCAGATTGATGGAAGCCTGCTTGCTTGATTGGAAAGGTAGGAATGTCACAAGTGAACACATGTGAATGCCTGGGGGGCTCAAGGAATTTTCCTGCATTTTCCTCCAGTGTTTGTTAACTCTTGCTACTTTAACTCCACACACAAAAAAACTAGCTCTTTGAAAGTGGACAATAAAGAAGACTGAAAAACAAAGTAAGATTTTTATGGTAAAACCTAAACTAACAGCATATCATAAGATCGCAGTCAGACACTTGCATTTTATAACTAAACCTGTAAGAGATGCTTAATTTACGGAGATATTTATTCTGTGGTCTTGTGTTTTGATGCATTAGACCATGGTCCAGAAACATCTAATGGCAAATTATAAACAGGTAGGGTCCATGAAAAACTGCTCTGAGCAGCTTTACCATTCTGAGCTTCTGTGGTAGTAATAACCCTCTATGGTTGCCGTGGATTTCTGGAAGCAGATGTAGTAGAAGCCAGCGAAAGAAGCACCACTTATGTCCTTGATTGTGTGATCTGGGACGAGAAACTGCTCCTAGAGGGGGTGCAGCAGAATTTCATTGCATACATACATCACATACATTTCACCAGCAAAACAAGAAAAGAAACACTTCCAGATTATAAAGAACAGTGGTCAGTTTGGAAGAATATCTTACCTTCCACCTCATAAAGACAAAATCACTGTTTTTCAGTTCTTCGTAATCAAAGTCGTCAGCGTTAAATGTTTTTGCATACTGATAAAAAGCCTGAAATTTGCCCTGAAATTTCAGGAGATCAGCAAGACAAATTAACATGTTGTAAAGTATTATTTCCAAGTGTAACAGAAATACAGAAACAAAACCTGCCAAGTAATGGAAAGCTACCAGCTTTTCTACTTCCTGCCAAAATTCACAAATCGCACAAGGAACTACAGCAAAACTATCCATCAAAATTTTGACATCTGCTAAATGTGTGTTTATTAGTAACACTCATACCCAGTGCTTGCGATCAACATCTTCGTCTGCATCCCATTTCCTTGTTAAAAAGGGGCGCTTTTTACTGATTATCTCCCCAGCAAAGAAGGTAGTGAGAGTTGGATATTCCTGTTCAAAAAACCAACAATTAACATCAGGTCACATAACAACTGCAGATATGAGGATTCAATGTGATGCTTCACTTTTTATAAATTTTACTGCAGCAACAATACATTGTAACACCTGCCCAAGAAATCTTCACTTTAAAATATGCAGGAGTCCTTACTGTTCAAGATCTTTAGGGGCAGCATTCTCATGCAGCTGACTGCAAGAATGATCAAACCAGCACTTTTGAACAAACCACTAGCCAGTCAAATTGCAACTTAATCTTAGCAATGTGGGACTATGCAGTTATACCTTGCCTGTGTGCATGACATCAGATTTGCACAATAGGCCAATTTGAGAAAGTGGTCTTTTGTTTGATGCAATTTCTTATACAATCAATGGGCACCAATGCCTGTTTAGAGCTGCATCATTTCATAGCTCTTTATGAATTTGTCAAATCCTTACAACGGATTGATTACAAGAACCTAAGATGACACAGTACTGCAACATAATAAAGAGATAAAGTAAACAGGAAATCGTTTAGGAACGAAGAAGCCATCGGAAAGTCTTCAAGTTCATACTTCTCCGCACAAGCGCAACACTCGCGTATCCACTATGTGTATGCGTACACGGAAACGTTCATAGATCTCCGGTCAAGCCGCGTACTTTGCACATGCGCACAACGTGTTGGATTTAAAAGTGATAAAAATATAATATTATCATCCTGATATTCCCTGCACATGTACCACAGCAGTGAGGTTTGTGCCCGTTTCTCTATGTTTAACAAATTCAGAGAGCCAGCTCACAGGGTTCCCCAGTTCGGTCATCTTGATGGAATTTTCAATTCGAGTCAAGCCTGCACTCACATACACGCGTATTTACATGTATGTAACAGTTTTATTAGCTTGAAAATAGTCTTTAGGGTTTGCAAACTACCCCAACGCTCGTCAAAAGCTTCTATGTTGGTATTTAAAGTGGACGCTAGTGAATCGATGATGCGCAGTCACGCAGTGTGCCTAGAGCTGCGCGTACAACGCTGCGCGGACACAAATTTGGAGCGGAGCAGGCGTTCGTCCGCGGAGGCGCACAATGACGTCAAAGGCGTCGTCAACGTTCGAGAGGACACGTCCGCTACTACGCATACGGAGAAGTATGAACCAGCCAAAAGTTCATACCAAAAGTGCATATGTTTCATGGGTGGAGGAAACTTTGAGTAAAAACAAATTCCATTGTGCTTCAAATGACAACAAAATTATACATTTGTCTGCTTACCTCTGTCAGTCCCTTAATCTTTAGATACCCACATAAATATGAATCTTCCATTGTAACATGCTGCAAAAAGAAATTATGCAATGGTCTCATTTGTTATATTCACACAAAATCAGCACAATTAATTAGTTTGCAGACTGTAAACCTGAGTTGCTGATATTATTGCTTCACTCATGTAGTAAAATTGGACACATCATGCACCGCTTACGATTACTTTATCCAACCAGAAACACAACAGTATTTGAGGCATTAATCTTGTTGTCAAACTTAAGCTAAGAACCACTACTCCATCTGCTGCCCAAAGCATGTATCAAAACACAGTACACACAGTTAACTGGCAGTTACATCCTGGTGTACCAAGTTACTTTTCTAGCAGGCTGTCATTGGAGCATACATCGGAATTACCTCCCAGTGCATAAGGATACATATGAATTTAAACAGAACGTGTTCAAAGTCCAAGAGGACATCAAGGGCTGTGGGCAAGTTCTTACCAGTCCGACAAAAACAGTAATTTAGAAAGTAAGTAGTAGTACTGTCTGCTCAGTAAAATAGGTACTAAATAGCCATTGTGGTTGACAGCCTCAGCTTTCCAAATCGTTGCGTGTCACTGAATGACAGGCAGACTTGATTGGGAAGCATTTTTGAAAAATGACCTAGCTACATGAAGAACAGGCCGGTCAACATTGTGTTCAACTTACCTGCAGAACAACCTCAACGTCATAGGAGTTTCCCTTGCTCTTCTGATGTCCTCGAAACTTCGATCCACTGTATAAAAGCGAAGTGGCGACGCCGGGCTGCTGTGTGTTTATCGGTGGAGGTGGGATAAGCGAGGCCGAGGATACGAAGGCCATAGAGGCGTTACCAGCTCTGCACTCCGCACGGACCGGCATGTTTACTCCTTTGCCGGGGTAACCCCCGACTACGTGAAAAAAATTCCAGAAATAGGAAAAAGGTGGTTAAAAATGATGGAATGAAGAACGCTGACAAGACGGCTCACCTCCTCACAAATCCTCCACGGGACAGGAAAGGATGCGCCACTTGAATATCTGTACATCGACAGTAACTCGGCAAGCAAACTCAAATTAACAATATCCTACCTGATTAGAAGATTGGACCTACCCCTATATAAAACTAAACGGTCATTGGTCTGTGTCCCGAAATGTATGCCGGGAATTGTATGTCTTTTAAAAGTTACGAGTAAATTTCTATGGTAATTAGGTAAAACGAGACCTATGACGTATTGCTAAAGTTCCACATGAAGAAGAAATTGCATTTAAAATATAGTTGCTTGACGTTGTTGTTTTTTTGTTTTTGTTTTTTTAAATCCCAAATATGGAAGAAAGTTGAAATGATATTTGGGTACAAGTTAAAATCATTAAGTAATGTTATTGCCTCCACATTCCAAAATCAATTGCACACGTCAGGTGTAATTTCTAAAAACTATCACTCTGTGTGAGATACGGTTGCAAGGAACAAAAACGTATGAGCAAATGATAACATTTTACCAGATAGTATATATACTATATGCCATGTACAGGACTGGAATGCAGCTATCAAATGGCCTGATATAAAATATAATACTGTAATTTTTAAAACTGCGACAAAGAAAGGGACAAATAAGTCCATTTGAATTATGAGATAATACACAAGTGCTCAGGATCAATACTAAAATACATATTTCGGCGATTGTTAGTCTGCACGGCTGCAGAAATGTATTCAACTCATATGCATACAGACAAGACAGTTCCAAAAGTAACACTGTATCATTTGGGACCATTTTTATGTGTTTGTTTACATATTTATTTTACAGAACAAATTCAATTCCAAATTTTTCACGTTCTTGCAGTGCATTGTGCGATATGATTAGTCAGTTTTAAACGGACTTCTTTTCCCATAATGCACGGAATTGAGACGTTTACAAGGGTCAATGTGTCATTTATGCGCTGAAAAGAACGCGAGATTATAGGTCCCTCAATCCCCAAACCACCAAGCCAGTTTTAATGATAAAAATAATCAGAATGTCATATAATATATAATTTTATGCTTTATTGTTTAATTACATCTTTTATTTTTCATTACCCTTTAAGACGTGTTTCGTAACACAATATTATATATTCAACGATACCGAGTGCATTTAATGCATATTATGTATGGTCGCAGTATACTCAATGCCTTTCTTGTTTTATGTTTCTTTTTTTGCAAGCACTGTATTATTGCATTTGTCGTCACTTCCGTGTCATGCATCGCATCGCAGGAAGCCGGGAGGAGGGTATCATACGTAATTGAGGTCATTGGCAGCGTGGTTTTCTCCGTAATCATTAGTACGGATGTAAACTAAACGTTTCTTATGATTTTATATACAGCTCAGAACTCAATATGGCTAACGTAGTTCATTTATTAAATTTGGTGGATTGAGTACATTTAAATATATTTGGCAAATATTCTAGTTTACCGTCTAGCTGATAATTTTGTTAAAAGTCTTTAACGGTCAATTTGTCAGACTTGGCATTGGCGACTGTATAACTGTAACGATATTGATTGTAATCTGATTTGATTAGGGAACCCTTACTTGGTCACAATGCTAATAAATCTGGTTAGATTTCAGCGTCAAGTAGGCTTTGTGTTTTCTAAGTGTCGGAATCGTGACACATGGCTTCCCTCTGTTAATCACTCGAAAGAATACTCCGCTGCAGCTTTGGGTAGGAATATACAACATTGTTATCCGATTTCAGTTATATACGTTTCGTTAGTCATTTTAGGTACTGGTGAATAGCTTCAGTCTGCTAGGTAGTTCAGTTTGCTTTGCCCTTTTGGTCATCCTTCCTAACCAGATAATCTTTTTCAGAAGTATATAAGTAATTGTTATTGCATATTATTTCGAAGTACCAAAGAATCCTGGTTAGTTAAACAGAATGTGATTTGCTGTTCTCGATGATATAATTGTCGATACATAACATACACATGTGATGCAGTCCCAATCCGGATTTGTCTATGTATGTTTGACATGATTTTATTTTATTTATTTTTTAATCGGACAGAAAGGAAGAAATTCTACCAAGATGTCAGTATTTCACAGGGAGAAGGTGAGTTGAAATAATGTTTAAATCTGCATGGAGACTATATCCTCTCGTTCGAGGAATGAGTTGCATTACACATAGCTGTGGTTTTGAGAAGATGGTAAGGAATTTTTTTAATGTAGGATATTTATATGTTTTCGGACCTTTTTTGACACATATAGATGGCTTGTATGAGATTAATCTGGACCGCAAGAAACTGAAGACTCCTGCGGGCAAACTGTTCACTGTACCCAATGAAGCTTTAGCCATCGCTGTGGCAACAGAGTGGGACATGCAGAAGGACACACTGAAATTCTACACCATGCATCTGGTGCGTCTGTCTGGAACTGTTGTTTCCTTAAGCAGTGTTGCAGGGTCTTAAGCAGACGTGCAGGGTGTTAACGGAACCCACGTCTGCTTTTCTGCTTCAGACCACTTTGTGCAATACTGCCCTGGATAACCCCACCCAGCGGGACAAGGGACAGATCATCGCAGCTGGCCTTAAGTTTCTGGAGACAGACACCATTTGGTAGGCAAAGACTAAACACATACGCTTCCAAGCTATTCAGAAAAGCATTTTAATTGGTAGGATGTTCATTTGCAAACTAAACAGGTGAGAAAGGGAATGATGTTGGTGCCGTGTCTTCCCTACAAGCTACAGGGTAGAAGAACCTCCAGGACTGGTGGAACTTCAGAAGAACGAGTGGGACCCGGTGTTGGATTGGATTGAGAAGAGGTATGTATCACAGGTGATTACACTGTAATTTTTAGTGTAAGACTTTTCCCCGACTTACAATTTAAGCAACTTACGGCAACTTCCACTGACGACTGAAGTTTTAAAATAAATGAAGTGTGTGAAAAACAAAAATTGGGTTGCCATATGCCCAGCAGTTCTGCATGCTGCACATTAGTCTGGGCAGCCATATGCCCAGCAGTGCTGCATGCTGCACATTAGTCTGGGCAGCCATATGCCCAGCAGTGCTGCATGCTGCACATTAGTCTGGGCAGCCATATGCCCAGCAGTGCTGCATGCTGCACATTAGTCTGGGCAGCCATATGCCCAGCAGTGCTGC